GGGGGGGGAGAATCAATAATCTACAGTCAACTCCGAAACTAGTCAAACTGTATACCACTTAGCTCACCATATTCATCCCTGCAGGTCAAAAGCGGAGTAGGCTCTGAAGGAATACTGATGGCACCTGCAGAATTCCTGGCTCTGACTCTAAATTCATACTGGGATCCTTCAGTCAGGTCAGTGACGGTAAAAGCACAGCCCTGAATGTTGACATGATTTGCTTTCATCCAGGCCTTACCACTGGCCTCAAGTTTCTCTATGTTATAACCAGTTAGCTTGTAGCCACCGTCATATTTGGGAGCTGTCCATATCAGAGTGACTGTGTTCCTGGTGACACTGATTACTTCAGGCTTGCCAGGAGGATCTGACATGACACAAAAGAGAAGACGGTTGTATGGTTGCCATAGCTCAGGTAACAAGAACTGTAAACAGTACATAGTTGAATAAGATTAGAGCAAAAAAAAAAAGATTCCAATAACAGTGGACTCACCAATGGGATCCAGAGCAACCACGGCCTCAGTTACTTTGCTAGCCTTTCCCAGGCCAGCCATGTTCATGGCCATTACCCTGAACTCATATTCTAATCCTTCTGTCAGTCCAGTGACTCTACATTCTTTCACTCTCAGAGGAGTCTTACTCGCCCGTTTCCACATCAGACTGTTCTTTTCCTTATATTCTATGTGATATCCTAGGGAAAACACAAAATTACTCGATCAGACTGATTGTTATTTGCTGTTTGCTCATACCTAGCATGTACATTGATCACTGTTTGTTACCAGTAACTGGGGCACCACCACTGTCCTTTGGATCAACCCAAGTCAAGATGGCTGATTCATGCCTGATGCTCACAATTTCTGGTGGAGCAGGTGCCCCGGGAACATCTGGAGGAAGAAGAGAAAGCGAGAGGAAGACATTATTAATATGTGTAATAAAATCAGTTTAGTATAATGCAGATGGTGTCATTACACGAGAAAGACTGATTAAAAAAATCCCTAAACAAAGCTATAGTTTCATTTCATTTTCTAGTATTTTAAAAGTACATTTGTAAAACAAATACATCAGGTCTTATAATGAGCACTAAATGTTATTACTAGAGATAATTTTGCCCTTTTTTAAAAAAATTAGAGACGTTCCTCGTGTCCAAATTCATGGGCTGC